CTTCTCAACAGTCCCCCAAAGTCTTAACTCATTTCAGCATTAACCCAAAAGTCCACAGTCCAAAGTCTCAGATGAGACAAGGCAACTCTCTTCTGCCTATAAGCCAGTAAAATCAAAAGCAAGCTAGTTACCTACTAGATACAATGGGGGTACAGGTATTGGGTAAATACAACTGTTCCAAATGGGAGAAATCGGCCAAAATAAAGGGGTTACAGGGCCTACGCAAGTCTGAAATCCAGCAGGGCAGTCAAATTTTAAAGCCCCAAAATGATCTCCTTTGACTCCAGGACTCACATCCAGGTCACACTGATGCAAAAGGTGGGTTCTCATGGTCTTGGACAGCTCTGCACCTGCGGCTTTGCAGGGTACAGCCTCCCTCCTGGCTGCTTTCATGGGCTGGTGTTGAGTGCCTGCAGCATTTCCAGGTGCATGGTACAAGCTGTCAGGGGATCTACCATTCTGGGGTCTGGAGGATGGTGGCCCTTGTCTCATAGCTCCACCAGGCGGTGTCCCAGGAGGGACTCTGTGTGGGGGGCTCTGACACCATATTTCCCTTCCACATTGCCCTAGCAGAGGTTCTGCATGAGGACCCCATGCCTGCAGCCAACTTTTGCCTGGGCATCCAGGTGTCATTTCCATACATCTTCTGAAATCTAGGCAGAGGTTCCCAAACCTCAATTCTTGACTTCCATGCAACTACAGGCTCAACACCATGTGAAAGCTGCCAAGGCTTGGGGCTTCCACCCTCTGAAGTCACAGCCCAAGCTCTATGTTGGCCCCTTTCAGCCACAGCTGGAGCAGCCAGGACACAGGGCACCAAGTCCCTAGGCTGCACACAGCACAGAGACCCTGCCCCAGCCCACAGAGCCACGTTTTTCTCCTGGGCCTCTAGGCCTGTGATGGGAGGGGCTGGCGTGAAGGACTCTGACATGGACTGGGACATTTTCCCCATGGTCCTGGGGATTAACATTAGGCTCCTTGCTACTTATGCAAATTTCTGTGGCAGGCTTGAATTTCTCTTCAAAAAATGGGTTTTTCTTTTCTACTGCATCATCAGGCTGCAAATTGTGTGAACTTTTATGCTCTGTTTCCCTTTTAAAACAGAATGCTTTTAACAGCACCCAAGTCACCTTCTGAATGCTTTGCAGCTTAGAAATTTATTCTGCCAAATACCCTAAATCATCTCAAGTTCAAAGTTCCCAAACCTCTAGAGCAGGGACAAAATGCCACCAGTTTCTTTGCTAAAACATAACAAGAGTCACCTTTGCTCCAGTTCCCAGCAAGTTCCTCATCTCCACTTGAGACAGCCTCATCCTTATTGTTCGTCTCACTATCAGCATTTTTATCAAAGCCATTCAACAAGTCTCTAGGAAGTTTCAAACTTTCCCACATTTTCCTATCTTTTTCTCAGCCCTCCAAACTGTTCCAACCTCTGCCCTTTATCCAGTTCCAAAGTCGCTTTCACATTTTCCTGTATCTGTTCAGCAGCACTCTACTGATACCAATTTTACTGTATTAGTCTGTTTTCACACTACTGATAAAGACATACCCAAGACTGGGAAGGAAAAAGGTTTAATCAGAGTTACAGTTCCATACGGCCAGGGAGGCCTCAGAATCATGGTGGGAGGTGAAAGGCCCTTCTTACATGGCAGCAGCAAGAGAAAATGAAGAAGAAGCGAAAGTGGAAACCCCTGATAAACCCATCAGGTCTCAGGAGATTTATTAACTATCACAAGAATAGCATGGGAAAGATCGGCCCCCATGATTCAATTACCTCCCCCGGGTCCTTCCCACAACACGTGAGAATTCTGGAAGATATAATTCAAGTTGATATTTGGGTGGGGCTACAGCCAAACCATATCACAGCCCCACCCAAATGCTGGCAGGCCACTGCACATGTGGACAGTCCACTCCAAGGAAGAATCAGGATGAGGCAGGAGAATAGGGTCTGGAGCCAGGGAACCTAAGGCTGATTCATGCTGACTTCCTAGAACTAAACCAAAAGAAAAACCCCAACTTTCCACATGCAAGTAACAAAAGGACCAGAGGCTACTCCTTTTGCACCTCCCACCCCTGCTTTTCTGCATGAAAGATGGAAAATTGAAAGTATCTCTGATTGGTTGCTGTTTGCAACCAATCACATGTTTGCATAGGAGTGTAACTTTGTAGCTTCACTCAGCCTCTGATTGGTTGCTTTCCACAACCAGTCAGACTGATTGTGGCCCACTACTTCATCTACATAGTGTACGCCAAGTAACTAACAGGAAATCTTTAGGGAGTATTTAAACCCCCAAAAAATTCTGTACTGGGGCTCCTGAGCCCCTGTGCTCAGGCCCACTCCCACCCTGTGGAGCGTACTTTCATTTTCAGTAAATCTCTGCTTTCATTGCTTCATTCTTTCCTTGCTTTGTTTGTGCGTTTTGTCCAATTCTTTGTGCAAGACACCAAGAACCTGGACACCCTCCACCAGTAAATGGGGAGAAGAAATGCAACTCCTGGAATTATACCAATGTATAAATACCTCAAGGCAAGGTCCAAATGGCACACTTGACTCTCTCAAGTTGTCCTCTTGGCCCTCTTCCAAGTGCACTTTAATTCCTTTTCCTCCTGTTCTAAAACTTTTTAATAATCTTTCACTCCTGCTCAAAAACTTGCTTCGATCTCTCTCTCTGCCTTATGCCCCTCAGACAAATTCTGTCCTCTGAGGAGGCAAGAACAGAGTTGCTGCAGACCCACACAGACTTAACACTGCTAACACTAAGACGTCTTCACTGGGTCCAGCTCCACTTTCACAATGTGAGTCCCACAGATTTGAACAAGTCACCAAGCGGTTTTCATGTCTTTCTTTCTTTTTCAGGGATACTATATTTTTTCTTTTAAGTGTTAATAGATTCACACATATCACATGTATATTCATGTGTGCTATTTGGGAGTGCTTATCATTATTTTTACAGTGGCATTTCCTTTGATTCAATTAAAAATGTTTCAGGCATTAGTTTCCAGGATTGCCAGATAAGCCCCTGATAAAGCACAGACTTCCTGTATTACACTTAGATCCTTTATTCAAACAAATGTTTTCTTGCTTCAGGTATTATATGACTTACTCTTTTCTCTTTATAATAAACTTTAATATAATGTTTGTTTACAAATTTGTGTATTTGAACAAATTTGATATAAATTTTTTGTTTTAATTTATATATCCTGTTTCTAGATCACCAATATAATTTATCTGTACACTATTTGCCAATAAGGATAGAAAAAGCAGCAAGGGCTTAAATATTTATTTGTATTATTTCTCTTTAAAAGCAACATCTGTTCATATGCATATTACTTAAAACATGGGCATATTCTGCAACATAACTTCACATTAGTTTTCTATTCTTTTATAGAATTATCTCCAAATGAATAAGAAAGAGATAAAAAGAAATAGAGGCAAGGTAAATAGAAAATGAGTAGAAAAGGCAAGAGGCTCTGGAATTTCTCTAGAAGAAACCAAGTCTCAGGACATGGTGGTGGGTGTGTATGACAGTATGCATTTGGTAGGAAAACTGTTAGAAAAAGGAGATTCTGGGACATGAAATGGGTCTAGGAAATGCCTCACAATTTAAAGAAAGCTCTAGAAGGGCCGAGTTGGCAAGCAGAGGAAAATGTCAAGGTAAGGCCTTGGTAACACAGAGGTGGGAGTGTCATAGGGGCAGCTGGCTCCACGAGACTCATTTATGATGCTCCATGTACCTGCTAATATGCAGAATGTTTCCATTCATCCAGAAAATAACTTAAATAAGAAAAATGTTACCTGTGATGTCCCGAATAACGCGGACCACGGATGTGGCCTATTCCTCGGCACCCGGGAGTAGGACAGACAGCTTGACCTGGAGGGATTTTCACATCATTCGTTCCTTCAGGAAGTAAAAGAACATGCCTTGAAAACACCCTCAATTAAAGAAGACTGCAAATCCGAAATATGTAAATGATGCTAATTAAGACTTTGCAAATTAAACAAACCATCACCAAAAACCACTTACAGGTGACTTACGATGTTTTATTAATATTAAATGATTTAGCAGAAAATACCAGTGCTGTAATAAATAACACTAACAGCACAACCCATATCAGACAGAGAGGAAAATGAATAGGCACTGAAATTTTTAAAAACAGATATAAGAACATTCACTTATTTCTTTCAGAGATTAATAATGGCAAAGGCAATACAGCCACGAGCTGAGAACACGAGTATGTAAGGTCTGCTGTGAGGTCCTCAGTGAAGCCTCCACTCAACCAGAGCAAGGATCTTGGAACACTGCACAGAAACCAGGCTAGCAAAGGGGGCGTGCTGAAGATGGCAAATACGCCCACACTTACTCAAGTGGCTGTCAAAGCTAGGCAAAGAAAGAACTGACATTATGCTTCTCTATACTAATACTGTGCTGTACCATACCCTACAGCATACTATATGCTACACTGTGCTATATACTATACTATACACTGCATTGTACTCTAAGCTACCGTGTACTATATACTATACTGTATGCTACACCATACTATACGCTACACTATGCTATATTGTACTATATACAGTACCGTACTGCATTGCACTGCATTGTACTCTAACCATGCCAAGCATTCTGTCAAGCCTAAGAGGCAGTCTAAATCTAAATATTATCAGTATCAAAACCTTCATTCCATGCTCTGTGATTTTCCTCAGTCTTCTCTACCCCCTAAACACACACACACACACACACACACACACACACACACACACACACACTCTCGCACATATCAGTTCCTGGAATGTCCCATCCCACACCTCCTACTGTTCTGGGCCTTACTTCCCTGACAATCCCACACTTTCCTTCTCCCCTCCAAGCTCTCAGACTTCCATTTCCTGTTCAACAAACTCCTGCTTCCTCATCCTCATCTCAATATTCCCTAACTCCCAGCTCTGGTTTCATGGGGCAGCGACCTGAAGATGTGGCTTCCCACAGCCCTCCACAGGGGTCACATGCCTCCAGAGCTGCAGGGAAGTCAGGGCCGTCTTCCTTTCTGTGCCTGAAGGCCATGCCTCTGAGTCTCCTCTTCTGAGTCTGACGCCTTAGCCTTCCACTGTCTGCCTGCTATTTCCACATGAGGCAGGGATGACTTTGGCACTGGCTCTCCGTGTTCTGCTCTGTCCCAAGTCTGGCAATATCTCAGGCATATCCAGGCCCCATGAACTCATCCTGCTGGCTCTGCCACCCTAACACTTCAGTCAGTCACTTCCTGGGGCCAGTGGCCCCCAACCCATCTGGGCCACACAAAGAAAACCCTCTGGGTCTTGTAATCACCCAAAACGTCTTTGCATCTAAAACCCCACCTGACCACAAAACCATATCCGTCCATACTGCACACTCAGGTGCCCCAACTGCTGCTGATGTTTTCAATGCCAATAGAGTTTCCAGGCCACTAATTTCCCTTCTTCTCTTCCTCAGCGCCTTCTGAGGGGCCATAACCCCTTCCCGTGCCTAAATTAGATTCTATCAACTGTTATTTAACCCTCTCTTGCAAGGTTCTTAAACTCCCTTGTTCTCTGACTTTTTAATCACGTCTGGCTGTAGGGAAAAAAAGAAAGAGCCAATGACAGATCACCTGAAACAACCTGCTGCTCTGTGTTTTGCATAACAAAGTTCTTCTGGGAAAAAAATGCACATTGTGCAGACGAGGTGTTACCAAAACACCAGCCTTCCACACTACCACTGACCTGCGCCCTCAGTCTTCTACAGCAGAACTTGCCTGCTGCTAACTGAGGACCAGGCGCCCGTGGACAGAGCACCTCCTCATCGCTGGCCCAGCACTTCCCCGCCTTCCTTTCCACTGCAGTGTGGGGTGCACCTTCCCCTCTCCAAAGCAAATCCCTCACCATCTATGCTTGATCTCATCACCCTCCATTCTCCAGGATCTGCAAGCCGTGATATATTTCAATCACTCCTTGACTACTGACCAACATTTAAACATGCTCCAGCTTCCATCATAAAAACAAAGACAAAAGAGAAAACAAAAGTTTGCAATGCTACTTGGATCCCACATCCCCTCTTACCTGCTGTTCCCTAATCCTTGTTCAGAGCAAACTTCTCAAAGCAGTTATTTCCTCCTCCTCAGGGCTCCTTTCCTGAGGCACATTTGTTTTACTATCACCACACATTGGGACCTCGACTTAGTCAGTATTTTCATGAAACCTAATGACACTATAATGCAAATTTATGGTTTATATACAAGCTTCTTTTCTAGACTATGAGTCCCTCTCAAAGGAAGAACTATGGAATACTCACCCATTCCACAAGCACTTACTGAGCTACTGATCACTAAATTGCAGAACAGGTATTTATTGAAACTATATACTGTACCATATGCTACAGCGTATAGTTCAGAATATAGTTGGCAGTCTTGTGGAATTGCTGCCGTCCACTGGCTTTGGCAGCATCGCACTGACAGCTTACCTTCTGCATATGAGCATTCTTTTGTAATCTCCTTTGCCAGCATTTCCTCCTCTAGTCAGCCTGAAATGTCAGGCAATATCCACTGATTCCTGGGCCATCCATTTGTACAGCTCCATTTACCAATTATATGCTACAGATGCTCACAGACTACAGCCCAGGCATTCTTGAAGTTCCAGACCAATGTATCCACCTTTCCACTTGATGTCTCCATAGTTATTTCTTAAAGTCATTTCAAACTCAACATGTTCAGACTGAACCTATTGTCTTGTCCCCCTAGCCTTCTTTTCCTCTAGAGCAGCTCATCTCCATGACTGCGTTACCCTGCAGTAAGAAGCCTGGATCTTTGACATCCTCTCTCCCTCATTTCACAGCACCCTATCAATCTGTCTTCAATTTTTCAAATATTTCTTTTATCTACCAACTTATCTTCATCACTACTGTGACTGGTCTAATCCAAGCCATCGTCCTGTTTGAAGAATTGCAATAGTGATTCTTCACTCATCCTAATGTATTTTCCATCTTGCAACCAGAGTAATCTTTTAAAATCACAGATCTAATGATATCACTTCTCTCTTAGCACATATCAACGGCTTCCCATTGCTGTTAGGATGAAACCTCAAATTCTTAACCTGGCCTAGCTGATGTATGATTGGACTTGATTTTTCTCCTCATTCAGGATTCTGCATTCTCCTGTTCCTTGAACTTGCCAGGTTCATTCAAACATCAGGACATTTGCATATTGGCAAAAGCATCCCATTGTCCGCTTGGATAACTTCTGCTTATCTTTTACTTCTTGGCTTATATTTCACTTCCTTGGGCTAACTTCTGAGAGGAGGTTAGGTCCCCATTTTATATAGCACCTACCTCAATTACAAATTAAGTAATTATTTGTTTAATGTCTATCTCTCTTATTAGGCTATACACTGCAGGCATGAATCCAGTTCACCATTGATGTCACCAGTATCTAGCCTGACACATAGTTAGTGCTCAGTAAGTGTGGAATAGGTGAGTACTCCTTCGAGAGACACTCATAGTCCAGAAAAGCAGCTTATATATTAGCAATAAATTTGCATTACAGTGTAACTAGGTTGCATGGAAATACTCACTGAGGCTAGGTCCCAATGTGTGGTGATATTAAAACAAATATTTAAGCCTCAAATACATTTTCATTACATTTACTGAACCATAGGAAAGTATGTCTTAAGTACATCTTATGCTCTTAGGACTTTGTGAAACACACTGAGGCATAAACAGAGAAAAACAGAGCTACCCTATTCAAAGCCAGCTTTTGGAAACAGCTCTTTAAAAAACAGCTTTTAAACAAATCAGAGGAAGTGATGCTTAAAAACTGTAAACAGGACAGGCATGGTGGCTTATGCCTATAATCCTAGCATCTTGGGAGGTTGAAGTTGGAGGTTCTCTTGAGGCCAGGAATTTGAAACCTGCCTGGGAAACACAGAAGACCTTATATCTAAAAAAATAAAAAGTTTAGAAAGTTATCTGGGCATGATGGCATGTATCTATAGTCCTAGCTACTCTGAAGGCTAAGACGAGAGGGCCTCTTGAGCCCAGCAGTTCAACCAGCCTGGGAGACAGTGAGGCTGTATCTCAAAAAAAGATTATAAACAAATCCTTCATTAATAAATATGCTTTTGTCATTCTATAAATATATAGTATTTTAGTAAAAGGATCCAAGAGAAAAGAAACATAGAGTATATAAACAGTTTTCTCTAAACTGCATCTTACAATACATTACCCAAGCTATCATTATAAAGGTCTAGAATATTAAACCCACAAACAAAAAAAGCAAAAAATACTCTCCATCAGCCAGCCTAGATGGAACGCTGTGTGGACATTTTACACACACAGTGACCTTTCAATGAATGCTACTTAACATTGTTTCCGGTACTATTTTATGTACTTTATTAAATTAAGGTTTAAACTGATTTTTTTAATATTTATCAATGCATATTTATCTCCATATCCTGATGCATACCATCACTCTCTCCTAGGTAGAGTTGGAAGGAAAGCCATGACCTCAGCTGGGGGAGAAGAGCCATCACATTAAGAACTGCAGCAAATACTTAACAAAGAAAGAGTTGAGAAGAACGAGAAATAAAAATGCATGGGACCTAGCAATTTCCTCATTAAATTGTGAATGATGAAGTATAATAGGTTGAATCAATGGCAAATAAGACAAGGAACCATCCACTGGGAAAAAGAAATTCTGCAACAGTTCACATTATTTCTCTAAGATAAAGGAAACCTTCCAACAAATGAATGCTTTTGTTCAGAAAATAATCATATTTTTGCCAAGAATATCTTACTATAATTTGGATATTACAACAATTAGGTCTCAAGAAGAAAGGTTCTCAGCCCTAAATCACTTTTTCAGAAACACTATCCCTGACCATATTACCTATGCT